TGAACGAAACGTTTCGACGCGCGACACAAGCGCCGCGAGAATTCTTTCTACGATGGCACGGCACATATTACCAGAGACGTATAACATAGTTTCAATTATTTAATGAGAGATTAATATTGGTGAGATTCAAAATATGGAAATATAAATATTAAGCATTCTATGCTATGAATATTTTTACGTAAGGCAAGCTGCCACTTACCAACCGTATAGAATGAAATGTCACTAACTTTCAATACAACTTCGTATCGTTACGTTATTCATTAATAAATTTTATTAATAACGTTATCATTTTATGTGCCACCATACGGGCAACATGTGTCATTTTTATGAAGAAATCGTTATTAAATATGCTTTCATATGAAGATTGCATAAGATTGCGTAACAGTATAGATGTATATTCGCTATGCAGGTAAGGAGTTAAAGGGGGAACTTCCATGGGGAATTACTGCAAAGTCCCGACCCCTTCCACTCATCGTGTTCAAACATATAAATAGCCCGCGCGTACCCTTGCTTCATTAAACGTATTAAAGTCAAGCACGAAGGTGATTCTGATACTGTCAGAAGTAAAAAAAACTTCAACAAAATAATTCAAAGTAAGTAGATTGTGTTCTTAACAATATCTTGTCATTTTTTAAATCTTTCAAATAAATCTACATTTATATAATCTCAACTTGTTCTGTAATATCGTCCGAAACGAGGAATCCATGTACAGCTACTTCATTAATACAAGCTACTCTGTTACACAGCACATTTTAAAATCGAAAAATACTGTCTCTACATTTCTTTCAAACTTTGAAGTTTATCAGTTTACATATCAGTGCGTATATAAGTGTTGTAATGTAATTTCAATACGAATTATACATATGACATGTAATTATATCCTTTTGCCAGATGAACAGTGGTCGGGACAACAACAGGACCAACCAATGTAACCCGAATCACACCAGGACTGGGCCTGGTCATAATACGGGCTACCATGGAGCTGGGACAAAAGCAGACCTGGACAATCATGGCAGGCAAATGAATCCCAATAACCCGCGATATCAAAAGTAATCTATTCTACGGAATGTATTTCTTCCAAAATGTATCCTAATTATGGTTGATTACATTTAATTTGGAATAAAAGTTAAACCTTGTATATTTTGTATTATTCCTCAATGTTATTATTCCTCACTTGTCCCAAAATTCCAACACCAGCGGATGTCATAGTTGAAATACAACGGAATTTATTAATCTTTCATAGAATAAATGTGTCTTTCAACTTAAGATAATTGTTAAACATTAGAAAATTAATCATATTCAATAAGAATCCAAAACTAATAATTTTCAAATCTAATATATCACTACGGCAAATCGCTCTCGGCTGGTTGTTTTATCCAAAATCCCCAAGTCGAAAACTGCGTCCCACTCTGTATCTTAGGTGGACTTCGAAATACTTTTATTCTTACACGAGGCACATTGTCTGAAACAAGCATTGTAAAAAGTACATTTTGGTTGAACAATTTTTGTATGTAGAAGCAGTTAGTCGAGATTTAATTTTCACGAACATTGTTTATCATATATAATTAACAAAAATACAATACCATCCTCCGTTGTATCCCCCTGAATAAATCTTTTTTCAATATTCTGTTCGGCGTTCACGAAAATTGCCAATGCAAAAAGATACAATAAACCAGCAATCTTCTATAAAAATTAGAATATACGGACAGCTAGCGTAGCAACAGATAAGAAATGGAATAAAAATGTTCTTCGCAAACAACTTACCAATAAATCCATCGCGATCGCTATATAACTGCAATGCCATTTTCCAATCGAACGGCTTTTTTATGTACTGATAAGCAGTTTCCAGAGCATAACGAATTAATGTCACGCTTCTTTCATGCGCTTCCTCATAGAAAGTGTATTCTTTTCGTCTTGTGAAAGATACTGGAAGTTGCGGATAATTTCTATTGTTATTTCATCAAAAATACTTATTCGGCTAAGACATTTGAAACCAAACTTTCTCTTGCAGGTTGTATCGATCCCTTTATTCGTATACCTTAAAAGATAAAGGAAACGACCACTATAATGGAATGGAAATTATCCGCAGCTTCCAGGATTTTTCACAAGACGAAAAAAGAACTTTCTCTACGACGAAGCCTATGAAAGAAGCGTGACGTTAATTCGTTATGCTCTGGAAACTGGTTATCAGTACATAAAGGGACCGTCCGATTGGAACATGGCATTGCAGTTATAGCGATCGCGATGGATTTATTGGTAAGTTGTTTGCGAAGAACATTTTTATTCCATTTCTTATCTGTTGCTACGCTAGCTGTCCGTATATTCTAATTTTTATAGAAGATTGCTGGTTTATTGTATCTTTTTGCATTGGCAATTTTCGTGAACGCCGAACAGAATATTGAAAAAAGATTTATTCAGGGGGATACAACGGAGGATGGTATTGTATTTTTGTTAATTATATATGATAAACAATGTTCGTGAAAATTAAATCTCGACTAACTGCTTCTACATACAAAAATTGTTCAACCAAAATGTACTTTTTACAATGCTTGTTTCAGACAATGTGCCTCGTGTAAGAATAAAAGTATTTCGAAGTCCACCTAAGATACAGAGTGGGACGCAGTTTTCGACTTGGGGATTTTGGATAAAACAACCAGCCGAGAGCGATTTGCCGTAGTGATATATTAGATTTGAAAATTATTAGTTTTGGATTCTTATTGAATATGATTAATTTTCTAATGTTTAACAATTATCTTAAGTTGAAAGACACATTTATTCTATGAAAGATTAATAAATTCCGTTGTATTTCAACTATGACATCCGCTGGTGTTGGAATTTTGGGACAAGTGAGGAATAATAACATTGAGNTGAACGAAACGTTTCGACGCGCGACACAAGCGCCGCGAGAATTCTTTCTACGATGGCACGGCACATATTACCAGAGACGTATAACATAGTTTCAATTATTTAATGAGAGATTAATATTGGTGAGATTCAAAATATGGAAATATAAATATTAAGCATTCTATGCTATGAATATTTTTACGTAAGGCAAGCTGCCACTTACCAACCGTATAGAATGAAATGTCACTAACTTTCAATACAACTTCGTATCGTTACGTTATTCATTAATAAATTTTATTAATAACGTTATCATTTTATGTGCCACCATACGGGCAACATGTGTCATTTTTATGAAGAAATCGTTATTAAATATGCTTTCATATGAAGATTGCATAAGATTGCGTAACAGTATAGATGTATATTCGCTATGCAGGTAAGGAGTTAAAGGGGGAACTTCCATGGGGAATTACTGCAAAGTCCCGACCCCTTCCACTCATCGTGTTCAAACATATAAATAGCCCGCGCGTACCCTTGCTTCATTAAACGTATTAAAGTCAAGCACGAAGGTGATTCTGATACTGTCAGAAGTAAAAAAAACTTCAACAAAATAATTCAAAGTAAGTAGATTGTGTTCTTAACAATATCTTGTCATTTTTTAAATCTTTCAAATAAATCTACATTTATATAATCTCAACTTGTTCTGTAATATCGTCCGAAACGAGGAATCCATGTACAGCTACTTCATTAATACAAGCTACTCTGTTACACAGCACATTTTAAAATCGAAAAATACTGTCTCTACATTTCTTTCAAACTTTGAAGTTTATCAGTTTACATATCAGTGCGTATATAAGTGTTGTAATGTAATTTCAATACGAATTATACATATGACATGTAATTATATCCTTTTGCCAGATGAACAGTGGTCGGGACAACAACAGGACCAACCAATGTAACCCGAATCACACCAGGACTGGGCCTGGTCATAATACGGGCTACCATGGAGCTGGGACAAAAGCAGACCTGGACAATCATGGCAGGCAAATGAATCCCAATAACCCGCGATATCAAAAGTAATCTATTCTACGGAATGTATTTCTTCCAAAATGTATCCTAATTATGGTTGATTACATTTAATTTGGAATAAAAGTTAAACCTTGTATATTTTGTATTATTCCTCAATGTTATTATTCCTCACTTGTCCCAAAATTCCAACACCAGCGGATGTCATAGTTGAAATACAACGGAATTTATTAATCTTTCATAGAATAAATGTGTCTTTCAACTTAAGATAATTGTTAAACATTAGAAAATTAATCATATTCAATAAGAATCCAAAACTAATAATTTTCAAATCTAATATATCACTACGGCAAATCGCTCTCGGCTGGTTGTTTTATCCAAAATCCCCAAGTCGAAAACTGCGTCCCACTCTGTATCTTAGGTGGACTTCGAAATACTTTTATTCTTACACGAGGCACATTGTCTGAAACAAGCATTGTAAAAAGTACATTTTGGTTGAACAATTTTTGTATGTAGAAGCAGTTAGTCGAGATTTAATTTTCACGAACATTGTTTATCATATATAATTAACAAAAATACAATACCATCCTCCGTTGTATCCCCCTGAATAAATCTTTTTTCAATATTCTGTTCGGCGTTCACGAAAATTGCCAATGCAAAAAGATACAATAAACCAGCAATCTTCTATAAAAATTAGAATATACGGACAGCTAGCGTAGCAACAGATAAGAAATGGAATAAAAATGTTCTTCGCAAACAACTTACCAATAAATCCATCGCGATCGCTATATAACTGCAATGCCATTTTCCAATCGAACGGCTTTTTTATGTACTGATAAGCAGTTTCCAGAGCATAACGAATTAATGTCACGCTTCTTTCATGCGCTTCCTCATAGAAAGTGTATTCTTTTCGTCTTGTGAAAGATACTGGAAGTTGCGGATAATTTCTATTGTTATTTCATCAAAAATACTTATTCGGCTAAGACATTTGAAACCAAACTTTCTCTTGCAGGTTGTATCGATCCCTTTATTCGTATACCTTAAAAGATAAAGGAAACGACCACTATAATGGAATGGAAATTATCCGCAGCTTCCAGGATTTTTCACAAGACGAAAAAAGAACTTTCTCTACGACGAAGCCTATGAAAGAAGCGTGACGTTAATTCGTTATGCTCTGGAAACTGGTTATCAGTACATAAAGGGACCGTCCGATTGGAACATGGCATTGCAGTTATAGCGATCGCGATGGATTTATTGGTAAGTTGTTTGCGAAGAACATTTTTATTCCATTTCTTATCTGTTGCTACGCTAGCTGTCCGTATATTCTAATTTTTATAGAAGATTGCTGGTTTATTGTATCTTTTTGCATTGGCAATTTTCGTGAACGCCGAACAGAATATTGAAAAAAGATTTATTCAGGGGGATACAACGGAGGATGGTATTGTATTTTTGTTAATTATATATGATAAACAATGTTCGTGAAAATTAAATCTCGACTAACTGCTTCTACATACAAAAATTGTTCAACCAAAATGTACTTTTTACAATGCTTGTTTCAGACAATGTGCCTCGTGTAAGAATAAAAGTATTTCGAAGTCCACCTAAGATACAGAGTGGGACGCAGTTTTCGACTTGGGGATTTTGGATAAAACAACCAGCCGAGAGCGATTTGCCGTAGTGATATATTAGATTTGAAAATTATTAGTTTTGGATTCTTATTGAATATGATTAATTTTCTAATGTTTAACAATTATCTTAAGTTGAAAGACACATTTATTCTATGAAAGATTAATAAATTCCGTTGTATTTCAACTATGACATCCGCTGGTGTTGGAATTTTGGGACAAGTGAGGAATAATAACATTGAGGAATAATACAAAATATACAAGGTTTAACTTTTATTCCAAATTAAATGTAATCAACCATAATTAGGATACATTTTGGAAGAAATACATTCCGTAGAATAGATTACTTTTGATATCGCGGGTTATTGGGATTCATTTGCCTGCCATGATTGTCCAGGTCTGCTTTTGTCCCAGCTCCATGGTAGCCCGTATTATGACCAGGCCCAGTCCTGGTGTGATTCGGGTTACATTGGTTGGTCCTGTTGTTGTCCCGACCACTGTTCATCTGGCAAAAGGATATAATTACATGTCATATGTATAATTCGTATTGAAATTACATTACAACACTTATATACGCACTGATATGTAAACTGATAAACTTCAAAGTTTGAAAGAAATGTAGAGACAGTATTTTTCGATTTTAAAATGTGCTGTGTAACAGAGTAGCTTGTATTAATGAAGTAGCTGTACATGGATTCCTCGTTTCGGACGATATTACAGAACAAGTTGAGATTATATAAATGTAGATTTATTTGAAAGATTTAAAAAATGACAAGATATTGTTAAGAACACAATCTACTTACTTTGAATTATTTTGTTGAAGTTTTTTTTACTTCTGACAGTATCAGAATCACCTTCGTGCTTGACTTTAATACGTTTAATGAAGCAAGGGTACGCGCGGGCTATTTATATGTTTGAACACGATGAGTGGAAGGGGTCGGGACTTTGCAGTAATTCCCCATGGAAGTTCCCCCTTTAACTCCTTACCTGCATAGCGAATATACATCTATACTGTTACGCAATCTTATGCAATCTTCATATGAAAGCATATTTAATAACGATTTCTTCATAAAAATGACACATGTTGCCCGTATGGTGGCACATAAAATGATAACGTTATTAATAAAATTTATTAATGAATAACGTAACGATACGAAGTTGTATTGAAAGTTAGTGACATTTCATTCTATACGGTTGGTAAGTGGCAGCTTGCCTTACGTAAAAATATTCATAGCATAGAATGCTTAATATTTATATTTCCATATTTTGAATCTCACCAATATTAATCTCTCATTAAATAATTGAAACTATGTTATACGTCTCTGGTAATATGTGCCGTGCCATCGTAGAAAGAATTCTCGCGGCGCTAGTGTCGCGCGTCGAAACGTTTCGTTCAGGTACCAACCCACTATGATTATTCCCTAAATAATTACTAAGAAGCTATCGTTTGAATTTGTAATGGAATTTATCGAAGATAACATTGTTTTATGTCTACGAACCTCTGATGCAATTCTCTAGCTAGTTTAGTGTATATTGAGTCACACAAATTTTGGTTTCTTGTTGTAGAAATAAAAAAAGATAGAAACAATAAATCTTGTTCTGCTCTTCAAAAAATATATACGGAACTCCTATAAATGGATATCGTTTTATTTTTTTCTATCTATTCATAGTAAATGGTTTATCATGAGGCGTTTAATTTTTGCAGATCTCCTTCAGCGTTTACCCTTTAATAAAAACAAATCCAACAGCATCGTAATAAAGCAATGAACGTGGTATTATAAAAACGGTGCAATTTCAAGCGTTCGCCGTAATTCGAGGAGAAGTGAATAGATCGCGTATAAAATTTTGGTAATGTATTTTCGTCTTTCATAATTCATATATTTATATACATATATTTATGTATATGTGGAAGCCCATTTTACATCGTTTTATAACGCTTATACGTTTTATATTTAACTACAACAGTAATGAGGTTGTCCGCCAACCGCCGCGGGAAAGCATCGCGGTTCTGTTGAAAGCGAGATCCGATCTAAGCGATAAGTTTTTGGCTAAAACGTCGGGCGACTTTCTGCTGACAAAAACAAGAATAATGCGAATGTACAATTTTCACGCGAGAACGCATTTAGAAACGGAAAGCCGTCGATAGCGCGAACACGAACGCATTTACGAATCGATCAAAACATTCAAATACTACGCATAAACATTCTATGCTTGGCCACCGAATTTTATCATTGTACGCTCTCAGTCATTTATTGCCATTTTATCGACTCGCATCTAAATCATAGGTACTAGCACGAACAGAAATTCGTGTTAATCATAGGCATCGATGTATCGAGAAATGATCTGTTAGCCTTTCTAATTTGCAATTCGTCGCGCTGGACCAGCGGATCTTCGCGCAGGCATACATTGTTATTTATGATAAACGAAATTAAACGATAAACGTCTTCGATTTCTTAGGAATATTTTATCACGTTCCATAACGGAGGTAAACTTTTTTGTTTAAACGGTTTTCTACGCCCAGTATCGTAAGTTCGTGAACGCTATGCGTGTACTAATATATAATTTGCCGTAAAACTCGTCACCGTTTTTTAGGCTTTCGCAAACAGAATATTTCGTACGCGCAACCTGAAAAATCCATTGTGCAACGAATGCTAATGACGTCCAATGTTCGTGGATAGACAATAACGTGTCTCGTTTCTTCTAGCTGGCACTTCGTGATTAAAGACGCGCTACGAAGTCGTCGGATATTTTTCGATGGTCAGGAAGAACAATTGTGCGGAAGATCGATCAAACTGTATTGCCCTTAGTTTGTTGCCAATGAAGATTGCACGTCTAATATCGTTTCGACAATGACCAGAGGAATCGGCAGCAAACAACCACGAAACAAATAACAATACAAATAATAATAATAAATATTCCCGAAGGTAAGCCAGAAGAGACGACATTTTGTTATTGTCGCGTTGGATCTGCATTGTTCCGCGCGTCATTTCTTCCTTATAATTCGATAAATAATTCGCGTAAGTGGCAAACCGTGAAAGGACCGTACTGATCTTTTTTTTTCACGACCGATAGAGAACCTCTGAACAGACCGGAGGATAGAATGGACACAATGGTATATCGTATGAGCATTCCTCGAATTCGTCCAACGGATGTTAGCGTATCGAATGCGTATCGAAGCAGAGATAACACCTTGCCTGTCAACGAAAGAACGCCGTTACATCGCCGAGCAAAGACTCGGACGCCGAGACGAGAATTTCAACCCCTAAAATTCCGCCAATCTCCTCGACGAGTACAGCAATTTCTCCGTAATTCGCGCTCAGATCGCGCACAAAAATCGACAATGTGGGAAGAGGAGACACGATCATCCGAGCCTTTTGCTTATCTCGTTTTTCTAATCGTTGACAATCGGTGATATAATAATCGCGTCTCCCCCTCCAAAATTGTCCATTTTTCTGCGCGATCCGAGCGCGAATTACGGAGAATATTTTCGAATCTCCATTCTTCGTTAAGATTATGCAACATTGATCGCTGATATTAACTGTTATCTATTTCTTTGGTCGACGGTTGGTATGAAACCTCGTTTCCCACGGCCGAAACAAAGGGGCTCTGCGACATTCCGGCGGCGATCTTTCGACGAGGATAAGGCGATACGACGCTTCGTTTGGCCGCCCTGCTATCGCCCATACCGATGCCCAGGGTCGCGAGAATATTCCGCGAGAAATGATAGAACTAGTCGAATGACGAACAGCGATGACTTCTTTTCTTCCTCCCTTATACGTTAACTTTGATCATTGGCTTAACAATTAACGCTTAACTCCTATAACTCTCAATATAACGTTTAATATCATTGACAAAGATTTCCTTCGATCAATAGATCGTAGTACAGTAATTATTGTTATCATTCTGGAAGACATCATTTGGAAGACTCGTTTCATAAATATTATCGTATCTCCTTTTAAGTAACACATTTCTGCGGCTGCGAGATGTTCTTTGATCCGTTTCTCGCCTGTTTCGTACGAAGACAGCGTCGATCCGCGTCTCCTCTTCTTTTGTTACTTTTTTCTCGCATAAAAACAGATCAACGGAAGCGATATTAACGCGTGATTCGCTCCCCGGCTTTTCACCTTGACATCGACAGGATCATCTTATTTGTCTGTTCATTTCCGTCGGCGTTTTAAATAGGGGACCGATAACGAAACACAGCGTTAGCATGAACGAAACGCGAAAAAAAGAGCATCCCGCCACCTTCGCCGAACTACTGCATTGGCTACATTCATATTGCTTACGCTAACGTGTGATCTATATGACCTGTGCAGGCCTCGGAAGACGTTGGATTATATAACTAATTGTACTCGCCCGTACATAACGTGTTACATTCGCGCTGTTCAGAGCCCGATATAACTCCTTCGCCGTGTTCGGCCTCTCGTTTTTTCTCCCCCCGGATTTGCGGGCAACACGCCGAACGCGTGAGATTTGCCCGGGAAGCTCTGAGAATAATGAATTCTGAAACGGTCGCCCCTGCCACCGATGTGTGAAAACTTACGAGAAACTGAAATCTCGACTGGTCGGACAAAAGTAGCTGCTTCTAAAGTACGAAAATCAATCGGTGCGAACGTACAAAAATATTTCGTAACGAGAACTGTCTGACACGGGGTGTGAATTTCTCGCGATATCGAGAACGTTAGATGTACAATACATAGATACAAATAAATCTGCCCGAAAGGATCCTCCTCCTAAAAAAATATTTCACTCGTCGTTCTGAACGTTTCAACGATCGGCTAATTTCTCTACAAATTGGTCGCCTCCGCCATTGTTCTCCATCGTCCTGGTCACTTTGTCGCCGTCCCTTTTGCCGTCAGAACTTTCGGGAGGGACCCGTTGTTGCTCCGCTTTTTTTACGCAAACTCGTGAACAGCGCTTACAAATTTCCGTTCCCCTGCGACGACGAGGAGACGTTCGACGCTCCGTTGAGTAATTCTATTGTAATCGGCGGTTGTAATGGCCCGCAGCTGGCGAAGTTTGCTCGCGACACTTCGGAGAACCGGTATGCTTGTCCAGATGAGTCATAAACTGCGCGCTTCTTTCGTAGTTCTTATCCACGAACGCAAATAACATTGAATATTTCATTTACTGCACGCATATCTGTCGCTACGATTAAATTTTAACGATTCTCGTTGAGTCTGAATCGCGTTGATTATAGTCAGCGATATTTGTTTCTGACTCAGCTCGACGACGCATTCGACGAAGTCTTGCTTTACGGTAACATTTAGAACAACGTGGAATATTCGACAAAAAATTCGAGCGTCGTTCGAATGGTTCCTTCGTCCTCGTTTTCTTTTCTAGATCGCAGTCGAACGTTTCGATCGGAAATTATCGGAATCGAAACCACGAGGTTTCCGGTGGCGAGCATATCGTCGATCGCGGGCCATCCGTGACCCGGAAGTGGCGCCAGGGACGTTACATCCCCTTGAGAAACGCCCTTGGAAGGAGAAACCGAACGCCTCCCCGGCGCGGCGTCGTCGATGACGCGCAAACAGAAATCACAAGACTCGCTAGTTTGCGATTATAAAATCCCGAAACTTGCGTAACAGTAGTCAACTTGTACGTAGATAATAATTCACCGTGTTCGTTTCCTCACTTGCCGAACGCGTCACACGTGGAAGACATCGATATACTTACAGCTAGGCGAAGATATTGTCACGTAAATTGCGCGCTAGTTCTAGGTGGTTTTTTTTTTGCCTAAGGAAGCCCCTGTTGTCGACGATCATTGTCAAAACTTTCGAAAAAACGAAGACGCGCGACAATTCCGAAGTCCGAAGATTCTCGCGTGTACAGAGAACGTCTCGCAATCCGGAAATCGGGGATCCTGAGGTCATTCGAAGGAACTTTTTCCTCTGCGAAAACGCTGTTTTTCGTTGATAACTCGTAAACGGAGCCCCGGAGGAAATGTTTGTAAAGGAAAGAGTTATTTAAAACGGCCTCAGGAATCGCCCGTTTGCGGATCCCAAGACATTTTCGGGACACCTTGTAGATTGTTGTTCTACGACGATCGTTCTCTCTCATTCTCTCTCTCTCTTTTTCACTCACTTTCTCTCTCGTTCTCACGCGTTCTCTCGCTGCCTTTCGCTCGTGCTCTCAATCTTTCTCCACTTAAATAGATTCATTTGCTAGATATGTGTGAGTTCTGGTTGGAATATAAATATACAATCTCAAAACGCCTGAACGTTTGTACAGCCCTCGATCAAACGAATCCTCGAGTGTCTACAACGAACGAATTGGGAGGCCGTATTTTCTTGTTTTGTACACGAGGTTTGCTAAATCCTGCGGTGGAGGCGGCGGGTCTTATCGATCGTGATCACGAGACGATTAACCGTCCGCTAATTCGATCGGCGATTTTTTTGTCCGTCTCTGTTTCAATGCGGAACGAAGCGAATTTTCATGATTTGAACGAGGATCGAGCCCGCGGCGATCTCCCCGTGAAAACGATCGACGAGACGCGACGCGATCGAGACGTTTGTTTTTGTACGTACACCGGCTAAGTTAATATGAAAACGACAGACGCGACGGAGAAGCCGTTCGACCGCGCCCGAGAAATTCTCTTGGACACGAGACTCTATCTTTTTGTACCGTGCGTGTGTCTGTGTGTGTGGTGTGTATGTGTGTAGAATTCTGGAAGACCGGGCGTGGGTATCTGAACAAGACACGTGGCTCATCGACCGACAAGCTGCAAGCTGCGGCTCCACGGTGTTATCTGATCTAGCTTCTAAAACAGAACGTTTACGGTTTGTTCCTGTAAAAGGGAAACGAAAGTCGACGAAGCTGAACCGGCGGCTGGCCGTTCAGAAGGGTAGGCCGATCTCGAAGGCGTTGATCAGGGCGGAGCCCGAGTCGTAAACCCCGATCACGCCGAACAGAACACCGAGGAAAATGACGAAGCAGTCGTACGCGACCTCGCTCCACTCCATGGAGTTTCTCTTCAGCTTCAGGTGGAAGTAGCACGGCCAGATGAACGAGAGCATCGTGCCGGTGAACGAGCCGATGAAGCCCATCAGGATGCTGAAGTGCGGGATGAAGATCGCCATGAGGATGGTGAAAACGATGACGCCGACCCGCCACGCAAGGCCCCAGACCTTCAGCTCCCGGTCGACGGTCCATATCGTCGGGAATATCGTCTTCGGTCTGCCCCTGAAGAACGCTCTCTCGAGGAGCTCGCAGGCCGCGTAGTACGGCAGAGGGTAAGATAGCACGGCCTTCACGACCAGGCAGAAGTTCACCAGGCCCTTGAAGCCGGCCGAGTGGAGGTTATTGGTGATCACCTGCTGCGTGTCGTTCTGGAACGTGAGGAAGCAGATCCAGCCGAACAGGGACTTGAACGCGGCGGCCGCTATGTGGCTCCAGTTCAGCATCCAGTCGAACTTGGACCGATCGATCAGATTCCCCTCCAAGGTCGGCAGGAAGATCTGCGAGGTGTAGCTGAACACGATCACGCCGAGGGAGATCGGGAAGTTCTCGAAGTCGATCGTCCATTTGACCTTCGACCAGCCCCAGTCCCCGATCTCGAGGATGCAGTAGCCGACGATGATCGCGTTTATGAACAGGTGGGACATCGTGCACCAGAAACTGAGAACGGAGACGTGCTGCAACGACTTCAGGAAGCCGAGCGGCAGCAGGAATATGCCGATCAGCATCATCCAGCTCCTGGTGTCGATCGCGCCCTCCGGGAACGTGCCTATCATCAGGTCCCCGCAGACCACCACGTACAGGATACAGGTCATCAGCAGCTCGATGATCTGCGCGATGTTCACCGCCCTGGCGCCCCACGTTGGCCCGAAGCATTCTTTCGCGATCGCCACGTACGAGTCCCGGACACGAACCCGTTGCCCGGTCACCGTGTCCAGCTCGTACAAACACTCGACCAGGATCTTGCCGGTGTAGCAACAGATGTGCGCTATGCCGACCATCGCGGCGATCGCCCAGTAACCGCCCCGCAACACGGCGAACGGCAACGACACGATGAACATACCCTGGAAGAGCGATCAGAACGGGTCTGAGCTGGCTAGCGGAATCGAGGGCTACGATTTTTAGACTGTCTCGGGTATTTTAGGGGAAATCACCTGTATGGCGTTCGTGACATTCCAAGCAGCCTGCCACTCGTTTATCTTCACCCCCGAGCTACCGAACTCGCCGCCACCCTCGTCGTATTCGCTGAACTCGCCGCTGCTCACGCTTCCTGTTCTGATCTTGTCCCTGCAAAATTCCATATTTTAATTATATTCAGACCGTATGTATATAATATAAAATATAATAATATATATATATCAATGAAAAAATGCTATTCTCTTTTCTTTTTCGTCTTATTTTTGCATGCAGGATCATCCCCTTGCCGGATGTACCACGATTTTCCGAACAGCCTGTATAAAACGGTATATATATAATTATATTAAGATAATACGTGTAATTATGTTAAGATAACATAAGATATTTTAATTCGATATTAACAAGCGACACCAACTGGCCGCCGCTCAGATATACGCGAATTTTTGTAATTTTTTTAATTTCCGTCAGGCAACGACAGCTGTGACGAGTTTTTTAGCACGTGACACTCAATTTTTTCGAACATTTATCTGCATAAGTTATCAACCGCGATAATATTATCGGAAATATCGGAGCCGCGAAACGGCTCGCTAAAAATGTAACATGCACACGACATTTCAAGATATCCTCGAGTACCGCCTGCACACGAAAGATAAGCCGCTTGTATTTTTACGCGAGGTGAGCGCTGTTAAAACGTCATCGATTCTCCCCGATCGGATTGATATCCAAGCGAAAGTTTACCCGTTCCGCTGATAGCTAAACGAATCCTCGGCCATGGCCACGTTGTTCTGTTCCCGATAGACCTGGTCGCCGTTCATGGTCATCATTTCCGTGTTGTCGCGACCCTCGTCGAACGATTTGAACTGGCCTTGGCCGTCCCGTCCCGGAGCCTGCTGGCCAGGACCGCGGATCAGCTCCATGCAGGGGCTGTTCTCCGGCCATTTCGACTTTATTGTTTCCCAGGCGACGTTGATGGTCGCCCCGATGGATGGTATGTAGAATCCCCGGAAATTGGCCATCTTTTATTTTATTTCGTTGCTCTGGAAATAAAACGGACTTTCGGTTTCTCCAGCTCGACGACGTCCGACATCCGAAATTCGGTCGCCGACCGAGAAGCAGAGAAACATCGTCGACATCTCGACGATACTTTTCGAAGGCTTGTCAGACGTTCGAAAACGATCGCCGGGCTTGAGAAACTCGATAACGAACCGTTTATCGGGTGTCGAGTGTTACGGGCGATTAGCATTACAGAATGGAATGCGACGTAGGGCCGCGATATCGGTGCACCAGGCGCGATCGTTTTCCGCGTATCGCGCCGAGGACACGCGTTACGTGTGCGTTAAACTCGGGCAGCAAAGCTATAACGAAAAAATCGAGCAGAGAGACTCGGCGAAAGAATCTGGCGCACGGAACAGCGTTCGGTGTGTGACCGACATACATACTCCGACGCCAATTAATTTCGATGCCGGACCTCGGAACGAAACCGAAATGAAAATGAGAATGAGAACGAGAGTGTTTTAATTGCCAGCGAGCAACATCAACATAACAGCGAGCAAGCGCAGAACATCTCGTTTCTCCGTTCTTTTTCCGAATATCTTTCGCACTTGGATCCTGCCCTTCAAGGTAGAACGACTGTTAATAGGGTGCAGCGTGCACGAAAACCACCCCGACACCCCCGCATCGGGAAATCTCGGGGAAACGTTCCCTGAAACTTCGAGTCCGGGCGACTCGAGATTTTCTAGCTTGCGGTTCCCCGTCGAACGGTTCGTCCCGGTTCGCTCGCGGTTAGGGGTATGTCACCCTGGAGTCCTTGAGGAGACACTTTCGAGGATCGAATATGGGGTCTCTAGGTGGACAACTTCTTCTTCTGTCGATTCCACTTACCGATACACGACGTGCCAGAGATTCGTCCGGCCGGTTCGCGGCGGCAACGGTTCCTACGGTTCCTGAAGGACACGGACGTCGGGGCGGCACAGCTCTTCCAGCGCGGACGACCCGGACCCGTTCGTCTCTGTTCGGCTGAACGGCGAGAAACTGAAAAAGGGGTCGCAGCGGGCCCGGAGAACGGAAATTAGTTGAAAATAAAGGGTCGAGAAATCGTCTAACTACGTGGGCTACGACACCGCATGGTCGTCTACGGTCTACCACGATCCTCGAGTCCCTAATCGCGAGCACTTAATCGCAACATAGACTAAAGGGGGTTGGCGTGTTACAGGGGTTGGGAGATCGGAGGAATATGGCCAGCATCCCTGGTACGCGCAAGCCTGAATCGATGCTGTCCACGAGACATCCCTCCGCACGTCAGTACTGTAGTTAAGGGTCCGGTCGCCAGAGCTGGCCACATTTTCAAATAATCGAAACGTTCGTTCGAGTTTTAATGCAAATTCGATCCTTTTTCTCCGCTTTGCGAACAATAAAAACGGGAGGAATGTACAAGCTGGCACAATTACGGTCGGCTTAAATGTTTCCTCGAGCTTTTCAGACGCAAAACATATCGGTACAAATGATCCGCAGAGACGAATCGAAGGGAGGAAACTATTTTTCTGTAAATTTGATTTTTAATGACCTTTTTGAAAGGATATCTTTTTTCTCCCGTGAAACTGCATATTTTATATGTTGCATCGTTGTGTGGAGCGCAGACGATCGAAAATACATTTACACGTGTACGTATAATAAGCATGACCTTGACACGACCTTGACGTATACAAATCAACGTTGCGTTGCTAGGTGATCCTTTAAAATTAACAATAATTGACATAATACGGCGGTAGGTTTTATAAACATTACTCGAAGTATAACTTTCATTTCATTTTTTAGTTTCTTCTTGTTCTTTGCGATAAAAAGTAACGCGAATAATAAAAAGTGAAATGAATTATAAAAGTAACGTAATAACGTAACAGTTACGCGAATGATGACAATGGAGTTGTATATACAAATGATCTAAAATATTTAAGCGTATTGATTTTGTATAGCTGGGCATTTGATCTCTTATGCAATGTATATATTGAAAATATGTTTATAAATTTTATTTATTGAAAAAAATATTAATCGTAAGTGTTGTGTTAATAAATTATACAAATGCGTGGGTTATATAAAATCAATAAACAATTATTAATAATTACAATAATTTATAGAGCTTTTCATCGTATGTACATATTTTTAATTTTTCTGGCGACGCAGTTTCAGTGTCTTCACCTATAAAAATAGACGCTTGATTGAGAGAACTTATAAATTATCTTTTGATTAACATATTTAGCGGAAATGAATGCATAATACAAAAGAATAACATTAAAACGTAACGTGAGCATCATTTATATTCTAATTGAACTTATAATACAATACTTTTTACTTTTCATTATGATACAATATTTGAAGGTTTCAATAAAAACCAGTGTAAATTTGAATAAATAAAAGGACCAGTTGTTTATTATTTATCTTAGGTATCGTACTTTTCACAGTGTTCATCGATAATTCATATTAACTTTACAATCGTTTGTGTCCCTGCGAGTTTTGGATTTGTTTTTATATAGAAATTATAGTGTCATCTAAACGAGCATTTCACGCGTAGAATCCAATTAGATTCGTTAGTATACAAAATAAATACTAACAATTGGTTTTAATAATTCTGGTAACAATACAAGGCCGTGAGATCACAACGAAAAATGCTTTTCTTTCTCTCCTTTTCTCCATTCTTTTACCTCGAAGATGTACATATTTATGCATTCATAAGTTAATTACAATATTTCGATTACAGTACACGTTTTGAA